CACACACACACACACACACACACACACACACACACACACACACACACACACACACACACACAAAGGTGGACAGACAGGTGTAGCTGCCCTATCCATTTGCCAGCTGTTGGGTATTATGCAAACGAGGTGTAGAATTACAGAGTTAACAAAAAGCCAAATGAAAAAAAGTGTTGTTGTTGTGGACATTATGTTGGGTTTACTGTGAAATGTCACCGCTTCAGGTGAAACAGTTTCACAAATCAAATTTTACCAATTACAGCCAATTGTTTATTCTTTTACTGCAACTGCAACATATCTTACAGAAACATAATTAATGCACATTGTGATGTGTACCTCTAAGCTTTTAGAAACAATGAAAAAAGTGCACCAACAGTAAGCAATGAAACTTTGCAACAAAAAAAAAAACGTGTTTACAAGTGATTTAAAAATAAAACTGATTCATTAATTATCTACCCAAATTTAATATTGCGGTTACTGTTTTTTTTTTTTTTTTTGAAAAAAAAATTAAAAATTAAAATTAAGCAAACCACATTTAAGCTGACTAAGGTTTAAAAAAAACACTTAAATGTTTTGATATTTATTGGTTTTAACAAAATGACCACCAGAAATATACTGTTTTTGACACATAGTGAGCAAAATGATGCATTTTACAGTACCTAACCACAACACCTCTCCTTGTTGACAACAGATATTTGTTGTTATGACAAACTCTCACTTTTATTATTTTCCCCATTAAACCAGAAACTTTAGTGCCTAAAATTGTAAAAGCACAAAACAGTGCAACTCACAGACTCAGGATTAGGTTTATGAAATTCGGATTTTAGGTAACATAAAGCATTTTAAGGCAATAAAATAACTTTAYGAATTTCCACAAAAATAAAACAAGTTTAACAATATATGTTCCTCTTAAGCAAAAAGCACCATAAATATTACATTTTGGATCTTTTGGATGTTCTATATCTAGTACAATTACAATATTTTACATGCAGTAAAGCCCAAATAATACTACCCAAATACACATATAACAACATCCTGATTGGCATTATGTGAGTCAAAACCCATCCTATACACCAAGTGTTGCAAGAGGCTTATAAATACTGTTTTGTTTTGTTCTYGTTTGTTTATCAAATTCAGTTCATTTTTTAATTTATTTATTTCATTTCATCCAGTTCAGAACATGGATGCTCCTGAGCTCTTAATGGTATGAGCTTTTTAAGATCCTTCACACCAGCACAACCAGTGTGAGGATGAGGCCAAATATTTTCTGAACCAGCCTAACCTACTTTGAYCGTGGGATAACATCTATCTGAAAAACAACAATCCACATAAGAAGAGAAAAATAAAACACCAAGCTATGCCACTTGTAGGAAATTAGTCAAACAACAAATAATATACATCAATATACATAAAACAAACAGTTTAATTCATACAGAATAGGAAAATCTCAGGGGGAAACGTACACAAGTGATTAAAAACTGTTTACTCCTGATCACATCATTTATGCTCTTTAAAATGCAATCTAAAAATAAAGCAAGCAGTTTTCAGTTGTTTTTCCAAATGATATCAGGATTCAATAAGTGAGTAAACTCGTGTGTGTGCAATTCAAAGAACAAATATAGCTCTGAACCTACAGTGAGTATCATCAAAGGAGAGGAGAGGAGAAAGAATGAGGACGAAGGGGGGAAAAAACCCAAAGGAGAGAAATAGTGATGGTTTCTTTTCAGCAGGCGCTCAGTGTGAGAGGCAGAGTGGAACCTATTATTCTCCTCATTAACCCAGAGGGACACGAGGACAGAGATAGATCTCAGTGGCTGTTATTTTACTCATCAGCYGTAATAAAACGATGCAGCTTTAAAAAAAAGTTATTAAATGTTTAAATATTGTGGATGTTGAAATGCTTATGGTGTTTATTTTAAGTGAAAGCACCAAAAGTCAATGTTAAATGAATAAAAGGAGTCCTTATGTTTTATTAAGAGACAACAATTATTATAAGAAGTGCAGGACTTCCTCATCAAAAACATTACATTTTAAAACCATCACGTTTAGGGGTATGTATGTTTTACTTGTTTGCCATACGAGAAACAGCTCCAGCAACGATAGATGTAAAAAGATATTAACTTTGATCTGAGGTTGGTACATTAATGTGTTAAACTCTTTCTACACAAATCTGACAATCAGATGTCTTAGTTGTTCATCTTTCGTGTCTTCTTGAAATAATTCAATTTGATTGGGCGTTCAGCACAGTGCATGAACTTTGCTGTATATTCATTTTACAGCTACTGTTTTTATGCCTTATTTAATGCCTAATAAATCAGAGATATAAAACATTATTTCATGGGATGTGTTAAACYGATTTCAGTGTTTTGTGGTAAAACATGACTAGAAAAACAGTGCTGGAAGCTTAAAACTGAACTAATGGTCTGACTGTACACAAGCATTGTTTTGTTTACTTCTTTAAATAATAGATTCCAGCTTTCTTCTGCACTCTGAATCTAAACCCTAATGCATGTGTTAACTGTGTGTCAAAGCTGCTGGTTGGGTTCAGTAGCTGCATTGTGTTCAAGTCCAATTTTACCTTGTATTTCCAATAATAATAGTAATAATAGTAATAATAATACAGCTTAGATACTACCCTGAACAACCACACAATTGAAAAAGCAATATCTTCTCTCATTGTCTGGTCTCATAGAAAATGTAATAGCAAGAAGATCAAAACAGATGTGTTCGACTTTGTAATAACAGCAGTTAGAGAGCACTGACTTTCTCCAACGTTTTGGACATAATGGTGCAACTGTGCAGCTGCTTAGCTCTGGTCCTGTGCACAGCTACAATTTCCTTTAGGTGCCATTTTTATGCAACACCACCTTTCAAACACAAGTGAACACGGCTTCCATTACATAAATTAGGATGGGACATAAAATATGTTTTATGGCCAAACTGTGCTTAATATGACCTTATTTTTTATTTAAAAAATAATTTCCACTCCGGCTGGATAAAAGTGGAGCCTCATTCTGGGCCAGGAAACCTCGGTTGATAACATGCTGTGGCTTCTCTATGCACATGTGCAGCTTTGGTTATTCTCATTGGCTTTATTGTTCTTGCAGGAATGAAATTGCATGCATTTTTGCATCCTTTTTTTATGGCTTTATGGTGGGACAAACATCTACATCAGTGCTCAATGTGTATCAAACTATTCAGTGGGAGAAATTAAAAAAAAGAGAGAAAAAGATTGAAGGGCTTTTACTAAAGCCAAATTACTTTTTTTCCCCTCTGCCTCACCATGTCTCTCTCTTTCTCATCTCTGCTGTTCACTCTCCATTTCTGTGTGTGTACGTCTCTATTTGTGTGGGTAAAGCAAAGGTTTGAATAACAAGCAGCCAGCTAAGTGGGTCAGGGTCGGGAGAAGGGGGAGAACGGGGGAGACTATAAGGATGACAGACAAGGACAAAGGAAAAGAGGAATACAGCCTATCAAGGAGAAGAGTGAAGAGTAAAATGAGAGGATGAGAATGGAAGAAGTGTTAAAAAAGAGAAAGAGGTAAATAATGAGTTAACGTAAAGAGGGTGATACAGAGTGAGACGAGAGGATAAAAATGGAAG